ACTTTCAAAATCTATACACTTCCACTAGTTTTCAATTTTTGCCATAATGTTGCTGTGTGTCGTTTTTGCAGATGGTATCCTGAGTTATCCATCCCTCAGTAAAGAAAAGTCTGCAACAGCAGAGCTAATACCTGACTGATGTCAATAACTGAATAGCTCAGAACTTTGTGAAGATAATGCAAATAAGAAAAATAGCAGTGTTTGAATCTCCTCTGTGTAGATTTATTTCATCCTGTTCCTAACATGGACAGATGCTGCTGTTCCATGTTACTTGCTTGGCTCTATGGTAATTTTACCTCGAATGAGACATCTGCTTGTCTAACTACATGCACTGAAGAAAGGACCTAAAGTTTAGACCCTGTAGGTCTTCAAACTGTGTTAATCAGTTCTGGTCAACACAATTCATCCTGGTTTATATGGTTTTCAGTCCTAACAATTGAATTAACAAAACCTATTATTTACCAATATTATGTACAAATACTTAAGTAGAGCAACACAATAAACTTTATCACATGCTGTAAGAAAATCTAAGAGATGGTTGGGTAGAACACAATCATTGATGGAAATCTGGTGAGGTCCAGAGAAACAAATTGATTCCCAGCTAAAAGATAACATGAGTCATTGCACAACTACCCAGGCAATAACAGAGTATATTTGCACAACATCTTCCACATGATCCCTCCTGATTTAAACTTCAAATAAGCTGATACCAATTTCATTGACATAATGAGAACAAACAAAATAAATCAAGTGAATAAAGTCCAGAGTGATCTTTGCCTCCTGGATAAGATGCATTTAGACAGTGTATCAACTGCTACAATGATTTATATTAGAGACTGAGATGTATGTTTTAAGCAGCGTTGTTAAAGCTAAATTTAATCCTATGTTTACAGAAGGAGTTTAAACCAGTCTCCTCTTAAAAGGAAGGCAGAAACAACATGCTTCTGCATTTGTAGAGGAACTGACTGAAAGAAAATGTTTAACCGTGGAACTCAAAGACAAAGACAATTTCTTTGGGACATGGGTGTAATACAAGTCAAGAAAAAGAAGCATCTCAAAAATGTCCTGGATATTCCACAGGATAAAAAAATAGTCCTGTTAATATCAAGCTTGTGATGCAAGTGAAATAGAGGTACAGGCATTTACAAGTGTAATATTAAAATAGAAAAAAAGTTTGAAGCTATCTCCCATCAATAGGACTTCCTCTAGAAATAGAATATAGCATTGTGTATACATAGACTGAATGGCTACAAAAGTAGTACTTCATCAGGAGAAACAGTGGGATTATGATATGAAGGTTATTTCCCACTGAGAAAAATTAAAAATAGAGCTACATAGCTAAAATAGGGGAAAGGAGCACGGCAGAGATCGCTACCAATCCAACACGTTTTTATATAGATTGAATAGTACGAATCCCACAAATTTAAGCCAGTTACATCTTTCCCTCTGCAAACAGTCTCCTCTTGGGACTTTGAAATCTTCTTGCAAATGTTACCATTTCTGAACTGTTGGCCTCAGGAGTCTTAGGAAGAGGAAGGATTGTTCTACTTCTCAACATGCACATGATAAGTGATCTTTCTGGAGGGCTTGTTTTCCCCTTCTACAACAGCAATTTACATATTTTTTTTTTTTTTAGTAGGAGGTTCCCATATTCATCCTCATTATTCCCAACTTAAAATCAAACCAAACTAAAAAAAACCAACGCAACGACAACAACAAAATCCCAAACCTTGCCATGAAACAAACACAAAACCCAACAAAAAAACCTCACAACCAACACTACCAGAAATTCCAGTTTGCACGTGGAAGGCTTATAAAGCCGAGTGCCTAATTACATGAGTTTTGGGGCAGCTCTGGAAATAACCTTTTAACAGCAGATGACACAGAATGTATCAAAGAAATGAAAATGAGGAGCACAGATCTCCATTCCTCAAATAATTACATTCAAATGAAGACACTTGGCCCCTTTCTTTCATTTGCTGACTGAAAATTGACACATCATTAGCAGATCTCCTAAGACCACAGAGCCTGGTAACCAATGTTTACTGCTGCCAGAAGATATCTGCAAAACCATTGCCCCCAAAATGTCACAAAGGCCCTTCTTAAAGGGTCAAGCAGTCTTAAGGCTGGTGCTTTGTTAGAGGAAATGCTCATTTACAGAGATCAAGTTAAACAAACCTCATCTGGTGCGTAAAGAAACAGTCCTCAAAATATTTATGCACTGAAACAATTCTGATAGTCTGAGATTTTCAGGTGGAATCTTCAGTTTCTGCTTCATCAAATTAAGTGCCATAAATGACCATTTTCATGTTTCATTGCAGCCCCTATCCTTTAAAATCCGTCTGAACTAGACTTCTTGGAAACGTCACAAGTATTCTGTCCAAACCATGACTGTGTCGTGGCAGCATCTGCCCGAAGTAGTCCAAAGCAAGATCCATCCTTCTGTGCAAAATCCAAATATTTACCCTTTCTGGAGACCACAAAAAATCTCATGCAGTTTCCTCTAGGTAACAGAAAGTCTAAGAAAGAAAACCACGGTAAAACAAAGCAATCATAGCGAGAATCTATCCCGGAGCTGCAAAATCCTTGAGATACTTCAGTTTGATTGGAAGGCTCTGAGCAACCAGATTTAAGTGGGTTTTACTTATTCAGTAGTTAGGTCTTGATGACCTGCAGACCAAATGACCTTCCGACCTAAGTTGATTCTAAGTGCCACAAAGCAAGGGTAAAGTAGAGAGTTCAACAGCTGCTTTACAGCACTTAATACAAGCAGTCTTCAATAAAGTCTGAGGAAATACTTGAAAGGAAACAGCACTGAATGCAATGTTTGAGAGCAAGGGCTGTAGTGTTCTCCTTACAGGCAATCTCCACAAGGAGGGGGAGGGAAGATAGAGACCAACAGCTTTCCCATGCTAACAATGCACAAAGAAAAAACTGGAGCTCCCACAGAATATCACCTTCTTATGAGCTCGGGAAAACCTCAGACCTCAGGGCAGGCACAAGCCCCAGCTGCACCTTGCTGAAAGCGGCAGCACAAATTCCAGACTTTCACGAAGGAAAGATGAAGATCCATAAATAAGATCACAGATATAAAAGAGTGTTGGATTTCATATTATAAATATCCAAAGTGGGACTCCCTTCTGGGAATTCTCTCAGTTGTGAGTTGATCCTGATGCCACATTAGACACCTGTTTGCCAGTTAAGTGTGATACCTTAAAAGGATGAACAGAACCTTCTTTAATGCTTAGACAGAGCAATAGGAAAAGCAGTAACACATAATTTACTCTATGTCTTCCACCACAGAAAGTTATAAAATAGGTCCTATGCTTTAGATAAGATACAGAACTATTGCAGGACTGAATTCCTTGTGGGTATTGGGTACCTTCATCACGGGGCTGTTTGGTACCAAAGGAAGAGCTGAAGACTTCTTGAAGGCACTGTGCAAGTGAGCAACAGAACTCCAAAGATAATGCATGTCACAGTGTCAAGCCTAGTTTACCATGTATAGCTTCAGTTGTGCATTCAACATGCATGTGCACTTCTGAAATAAGGGTGTGTTAATGTTCACAGATGAGTGGGGCTCCTGAGTAATTCTGACTCATTCTGTAATTCCAGTGCCTCCAGGGCAGTTTCTGTTGAATGGCAAAATATGAGTACTTGGAGTAATCACTGAATACGGATGAGATTGTGTTTGTGCTCAAAATTAGCTTCTGTGGATGTGCTTTGGTTTTGCCATATTTTTTTTTTGTTAATTAATAAAGGTCTTAAAGTCTTGACCCACTGTTTTACAGCATCAAAGCCGAACATACAAGAGTACAGAATTCAAAGCATGCATAGGAAAATACGTGAACTCAACTTTATTCATTCCCCTCACTCATGACATCCAATGCATGCAAAATTTCTGAGGAAAAAAAAAAAAAAAGTCATGCAAGGGTTTAAAAAAAAAAAAATTAAGTTTGAGCTGTATTTTAAGGGTTGATTTAATTATACTAATATATAAGCACCATCAATCGGCTGGTTTTTCTGATTATCATCATTGTTGTACATCTTAACCTAAGCAGTGTATATAAATGAACTTCACAAACATCCTGAATATGAGTTCTTAACTTTCAAAGTACTTGTAAACACGCATTTGCCTTAAAATTCGATGCTTAATTATCAGAAAACTCAGTTTTATCTACCACAAATAGCAGGAAAAAAAATTATATTTTCATGATTTTTTATGAAAATATATGTTCATACATATAAATACATTTTCATGCATATATATACACAGGCATGTATGGATTTATATGTATATGTAAGTCAAAATACACCCCTCAGGTTACATTTGCTACATCACTGCTTCTTTGAAATTCAGGAAATGGTTTACAGCACTGCTGACCTTACATGATTAGTTCTGAAAGGTTTATTTCTTTGTCACACTGATTTGTGGCAATCACCTTGCTGCTCTGAAGTCATGAATCCCTGCAGGTATTATAGTATGCCTTTCTATATATTGATATGCTATCAGAAACAGTGATGATCATTTATACCGGTGTGAAAAGACAGGGAAACGCTCAGGAGACATTCAGGAGTTCATTGTTCTCTGTTCAGATATTTATGACTATGATTCGAGATAAAAAATAAAAATTACATTTACATATTTATGAGCATTTTTACGCAATATCTTCATTTCGATTAAAATGCCATAAAGATCCCTGCATTGCTGTAATGCAAGCCAGAAATCTAACTACAGTGCACTCGGTTTTATCTTTTTCCTAAAAACTTCCTAAATTAAAGCAATGAACAAAATACAGCATAAGCAGTGCTGATTGATAAAAAACAATGAAAATAGTCTGCCCTTAGGTGCAATTACAAAACTGTAAAGAACTAATCTATCACACAATAGGACCTAAAGATATTTTTCTTTGTTTTGAGAAGCGGGAACAACCTCGTGGGAAAACGCGTGGGCTGCAGAACCATGCAACACAAATTGAGGAGTGCAGGCAGAAACTCACCTCTAGCTTTGTTCTTTGTAGCAGCCACTGGAAGCAAGGAAAAGATTGCACAAGAAGAAGAGAACAAAGATAGATTAGACAGAAGTTTTGAGCAGGTAAGAATACAGAGAAACTTTATCACTATCGATTCAAAGCTAACAAACACAGTTTCTAGGATTATTTGACCTACTTATTAGAGACATTGTAGTGCTATGAGATAGTTCAGATCTATGATTCTGTCAGAAACCCTGTGTCGAAAACTCAGAAAATACATCAGGACACACATTCAAAAATCACGGCAAGGAGAGCAGGAAAATCATGGACTATTAATCACAAGTAGGTGAGAACACACATACACACATTTGTGAATTCTAAAACTTAGCAGAACAATTTGCCGGGCCAAAAGTGCATTCTGAAGTACCTAAATCTTACATCATTCCCTTGCTCCTATTTCTCGAAACATCATCCTTCTGTGAAGCTGATGCAAACAAACATTGGTTAAACTGCAGACACTCCAACGATTTATAATCCATGTTATATGACCATTATTTCTCTTCACTGAAGCCTTTATCTTCAGATTGTTCTTGCACCGATGGAGCACGCAAAGCAAAAGGGGTAGACAATATTTTAATGAACAGTGATCAGTGTTCAAACTCAGAGAAAAAGGGAGAGACACTAAAGCCCTCCTTGAGTATCCTGAAATCACACAGTTTCATGCTATTAACTGTGTATGCCCAACAGGGTAAGAAAAACAAGGGTAGCAGCTTAAAATGTTCCACTAACCTCTGCTGTACCGCCAAAATAAATACAATCATTATTTGCTGTTTTCTAAAGCTCACAGATAATGCTGTTGATAATCAGGACCCAAAGTTAGAATGGAATCACTCTGTTAGCTAAATTACACAAAAAAGATACTATCCTGAACGTTCTAAACTATCAAGTGCACTCTGAAAAGGCTTTCATTCAAGAGCATCTCCACGAAAAAAGGTACCTCAGGAAAGAAACCCAACGTAATTCCTCTTCTGCTGGCCCTTCTTGTAAGGCAGAACTACATTAACAATTCAAAGGCAGCTACACTTGTGACCAAGAGATACAGAAGAAAAGGAGAAAGACCCAATCCCCTGTCTGCTCTATTTGCTGTTCTTGTTCAAACCTAAAGGGGTTTGTTTGGTTGGTTGGTTCGGTTTTGGTTATGGTTTTGTTTGTTTTTTTTTTTTTATTTTGTTTTGTTTATTTTGGTTTAGTTTGGGCTTTTTTGGTCCGGTGTTTTATAAATCAGTCTTTACTGAGACAAAAAAAGGAGACACAGCAGTGAAGGCTAATTTGCTAAATATGAAGAAATTGCTGGAAAACTGAGACTTCTAACAAAAAAATGTCAGTTTTCCAGATATTTATTTCTTTTTCTGCATTGATCCCTCCTTTACTTCCAGGTGCACCATACTGAATTGGTATAATTCTCCTGGCAGTGAAAACAAACCAAAAAAAAAAGCAGTCTCATGATGTCCACACTCAGCACTACTTCATGAAACAGCTCTGCTTTGGGGAGCTACGAGTGCAGATGCTTCTGCAGAGCCCTTTCTAGAAGGCTATTTAACAAGACACATTCACCTGCAAAACTGCCTGTAAATCTTACATATGCTAAAAATTGCTTGTGCAGTAAACAAAATTAACGGCGCCATTCTAATTTTATAAGAAGAGAACAGTTTCCCCTTCATGCAAATACAAGCTGATAATGAATGCACTGAGTTCATCAACCTGTTCATTTTCTCACGCTTCCCCTTCTTTTTCAGTCCTGAGAATTACATGCACATGAATGCATTGTCTCTTCTAGTCAGATGAATCATATAAACTTAACAAAGGTCTGGAGAAAATATTATGTCCCCCTCCCCACAGGAAATTTAAAAGCAGCAGGAGACTTTATACTTAATCTCAATAAAAAGACATATGTGAGAGTGTGTATATGTAAATACGTACATTAAAATACATATGCACTTGAATTCTTCAGAATAAACATATATACACACATATCCATGTGGAAATTATATAATCTATGTATGGTTGCATATTTACATGTATATTAAAAGAATCCCTGCATTCTATGATTAGACAGCTTTATTTTGAAGCATGGGCACTAGACAGAGAATTATTATCTATCATGTACCAGTAAATAAAGAAAAAATATAAATGAGATTGTACATTATAATTGGAAGTAGGGCAGGTTACTAGGCTTGTTAGGCCAATTATAACTCTCTGCAAACCCACTAATAGAGGACTAGATGACAGTAACCTTCTTAAAAATGTCATGTTCAATACTTGTAAGTTTTTCCACTGACAGCACGGTCCAATTACAAGTCAATTCGTAAAGTTCAAACTGCACAACAGCCAAATTAGCTGAAAATGGTCTTTCAAAATATAATTCTGCCTACTGAAGGCAACTAGCTGGAGCTGTTTCCATCAACAACCCATCTTTTTGATACCTAGGATGACGTAAAATTCCCTTTCATTGTTACCACTGAGGTAGGTATTTCTCTATCCAAAGGCAAAAAAAAAAAAAAAAAAAAGAATAAATTTCTCTCTTCCATCTTTACTCACCTTGTCATTCAGTGTAAAGAGAATACAATTTTCAGCAATATCTATTAAGTTTGAAAATTATTAGCATGAAAAGTCATAAAGACAAACACAAATAAATGTTTCTAATGAGCATCAGCAGGACAGCAATTTAGCAGAGGGAAGGTGAGATCTTGGTTAGATCACCAGATGTGGGATAACTCAGCTTTTTATGCCACTGAAATCAGTAACAAAAGACCTGTGGGTTTCAGCAAACAACGCTACAGTCAAAGGATCCACTTTTGCTTTAAGCCTTCAGCAAGGCAGTTGATTCCTCTGCATTTCACATAACACATTCTCTTTTTTCCCCACCTAGACTTCCTTGCTTGCTGATTAAAGAGACAGAGTCCTCAAGGCAGTGAGTCTCTCCTCAAGGTAGTATACTTGTAAGACATTGATTTGAAATTTCTGTCACACAAGTAAACATTTTGGGGTACAATGTAACCTAAAACCTAGAATTTGGCACGTACTTTATTTGGCTAAATGAACGAGACAATCAGCAAACGGATAAAAAGGAAAGGCAATGACTTCTGGTACTTCAGGGATTTCTGTAAAAAGACATTTTTAAGGGTGTTTTTTTCTTTAGTTACTCTGTCTTGTCTTTCTTAGGAAATTGATTCTGGACAGGGAGGCATTCTACAGAAAAGTGTGAACAATGACCTTTGTTGGAATTTAAGGAAAATTTTAAAGACCAGAGAAGAAAGAAAGACCAAGTGGGAAGAAAGACCATATTTTCAGAAGTCAGGCTGAAAGGTATGACAGAGCTACTACATTTCGAGGCAAGGCTGAGAAATAAATCTCTTCTACTTTCTCTATCAAGATTAAACAGCACTGTATTTTCTGAAAGCTCTTCTGGTCACAGAATATGTAAAACAAGAAGGCTGGAAAAGTCTGTAGAGTGAGGGGATCACAGAACAGCAAGAAGTCAAGGTCAGAGATCTCAGGGGAGTCCACTATGAGAGATCCAGAAAGGAGAGGGAAACTGTGCCAGGTCCTCAATTGTGGCAGTTAATTTTCACAGAACTGAGGTTTTTAGGGTATTTTTAAATCAGAAAAGCAATTCTGTTGTAGCTGCGCTGCTGAAACAATGTTTTTTTAAAATCACTGCCTGAACGTAAAAAGCTAGATTCAAATTTCAAAACCCCTAATATACCCTTGCTCTCAGATATCAATAATATATTGTGCTTTATTTTCTGTGATACATCTTTCTGACTTCTTGCTTTTTGTATGCCAACAATTGTTAAATTACATTCTTTGATAAATGGTGGCCACAAGTTGTTCAATCTTTTCTCCACACTCAGCTGTCTCTACAGTGTTCAATTTTGTGGACAGTTTTAGACAGATTTGATATAGCATTTATTTTATTTTTCTCTTATATGTGATTTATTATTCAATTTGGGGTTTTGTCTTCTGTCTTTGGAAAAAAACTGCATCTTTCCAATTACTTCAATAGCTCAATAAAAATAAAAAAAGGGGAAAAGTATTTCCCCCCAGATATGCAGCTTACTAAACCTTTTATTTCAAAAGGAGAAAGAAAAAGGAAAGTGAAAAGTTTGAGGTCAAGTCTTGTTTTCATTTCACCTATTTCATGAACTAAGAATGCAGACAGAGGAAAAACCAGTCTAAGATGGCTGTATTCAAGAAAAGAAACAAGATGGAAGTCACATTGGACATAATGTCACATAAAGCACATGGCATTGATTTTCTCCTGAATATAGTAATGTACATTTCCAGCAAATCTGGAGGTCCTCTCATCTTCAATAAAAAATTAAGACATCAACAGTCTACAGGATGGATGCATTTATTCATCTCGGTTTTTGCTCCAGTCTTGAGACCTTTTCTGATCATGGAAGGTGAAAAATGATCAGAGAAGCAGCATACAAAAATATCTCCCAGCCCCACAAAAAACTTCACAAACGCCCACACAACTCTGCTCCCCAACACACCCAATATATAATGCATATAATGCAGATTTTCAGCTTTCAAAAAAAAAGTAGTTATTTTTACACTACCTAAATTTAGAATTTTCTCTTTAATTTTAGGATGATGACGACAACAACAATTTTTTTTTTTTTTTTTTGCCTTTGGGTAGACTGATGGATTATCACTGATCATTTAGGTCACCTAAATGCCAGCTCTAATTCTCTGACTGGAAAAGCTCCTTTGTGTGACAGAAGGCTTAACAGGATCATTTTCTGCAGAAAATAATGCAAATTATTAGGTTGCCACAGACTAGAGAGGCATTCAAAGCAAAGATACCAGCATGTGCTGTAATTCATCATGCCTTTCCCCCCTCTTTTTCAAAACCAACATTTTCCAAAAGCCACCAAAGGAGAAAAAACACTACTATCATCTGAAATTCCTGGTGGGAATTTGAGTCTCCTGCATTCAGGAAGACATTGCTGCCAAGACTTAGGAGTGTGCCCGGTAGATGACAGAGAAACCTGGGATTTTAGGAGTTCTCTTAGCTTTGGATATAGTATAAAAAGCCTAGATATGTTGTCATAGATAAATTTGTTTACTTCTGGTTTTCTGATCTCTCATTTGATTGCCTTTGTTGCTATACCTTTGCATGTTATAATGAATATTCTTTTTTATAAGGAAGTTCTGCACACTTTTCTCATAGAAATTTCTAAAATATCAGTTAGTGGCATTTGCAGATAGAATCAGAATCCATATATTCCTGGATAAGCTTTCCTCTCTTTATTTATATAACCACTAAAAATCTGTGCAGCCATGCATATGTAATTAAATGAAATCTAAACATGTGACCTCCTATTATTCTCTTTATTCTGTGTTCTGTCTTTGCAACAATCTAACCACAACACATGTTCCTAAAACGACATCAGCTAATTTCTCTCAGAAAGAGATAAATTTCACTTACTCATTGATTGATATTCAAAAAACCCAGAACTTTTTTGGTTCT